CTCATCTTCCTCGGCCACTACTTGATCCGGCACAAAGGTCAGAGGGAAGTGTCAACAGAACTCGGGAGGGGTAGGAAGATCCATCAGGGGTAGGCAGGAAGAGGAGGCTGCGAGAAGGGCCTTCAGAGACTCGGCCAGCCCCTTGGCATGTTTGAGAAAGAAAAAAGGCAGCCAACCCTGTGATAACAGCGCCACCAGCCAGAGTGAAGCCTGATCACTTGGGGATGGTCCAAGTAAAATCAAACCTTCCCACTCAGACAGTGGCTGCTCCCCTGCTGCTCTCCCTCCAGGTCTCCTGTAGAAGACGGAGAGCTCCAGAAACTGCATCTCCATCCTGTTTCTTCCTGCACTTTCTTTCTACCTATTCGGACTCATTTTTCCTTCCCCTTTGATCTCCTGCTGCCTGTCCCCATACCATTGCTTTTCTTTTCTCTTCCTTCTTTAAGTTTCTCCCCATATCTATGCCTTCTCTCTACCCTCCCCTCGCGTTCCCTCCTCTCAGACTCGCTGCTCTGTGATGACTTGTGGCCAGCGGTCTGGCTACATGGGCTGGTCATACGTAAGCCAGATCTCACTGTGTTGCTCATGCAGCTGACATAGCAGTTTCCCCATCACCAATTTGCGTGCACACATGCATGCATACACACATGCACACACACACACACCTCTTTTTTTTTTTTTTGCCAGATTATAGATGAGATTCTACTTAGGGGCAGGATTCATTATTCACAGGGGATGTGGTCAGGTGAGGGATGTTGGCAGCAAAATGCAAAATAGGTAAGGTGGGGTTGAAGAAAGCTCCAGGCGAGAGAAAAATTGCATGAGCAATGCGTGAGTGGGTGGGCGGGAAAGTGGGCAGAGGTTTGGAAGCTGCTCCTGAAAGGAGGAGCCTCTGTCTCTACACAGGAACCTACCTGACACACGAGGCGAAAGGCTCCGACGATGCCCCAGACGCGGACACCGCCATCATCAATGCAGAAGGCGGGCAGTCAGGCGGGGATGACAAGAAGGAATACTTCATCTAGGGGCGCCCGCCCACCTCCAGCGCCCTTCAGGGGCCCCATGGGGACTGCTGGGGCCATCACCAACCCGGACTTGTACAGAGCGACCCCAGGGCCGCCCCTCCCGCTTGCTCCCCAGCCCACCCACCCCCCTGTACAGAATGTCTGCTTTGGGTGCGGTTTTGTACTCGGTTTGGAATGGGGAGGGAGGAGGGCGGGGGGGAGGGGAGGGTTGCCCTCAGCCCTTTCCGTGGCTTCTCTGCGTTTGGGTTATTATTATTATTATTTTTGTAACAATCCCAAATCAAATCTGTCTCCAAGCTGGAGAGGCGGGACCCTGGGGTGAGGAAAGCAAAAAAAAAAAAAAACAAAACCTGGAGTGTTAGGAGGAGAATGATGGTGGAGGGGAGGGAAAGGGTAAGGCTGCTTGGAGGTGGGGGCTCTCACCAGCCCTCCCTCCATCCTCTACAACAGAGCAGCTTCCCAGGCTTCTCCAGGAACCCAGGAGCGGTGGAGTTGTGAGCAAGGGCTGGGGGTGGCTTTCCCTCTGCTAGGGAAAGCCAGGAGCTATGGACAGGGAGGTGGGTGCCACCCTGACACCCCTCTTCCATTGCAATGGGAAAAGGGTGAATGGGGGAGGCCCCAAGGAGATGGGACCTGCAGAAGGCATGCAGCCACACAGGGACCCAGGGCTTTAACCTGGGGAGGACACGGGTCCCTGAAAGGAAGGGTAGATTTAGAGAGGAAAGATAGCAGAGATGGACCACCGCCCCCATTGCCCCCAAAAAGAATGAAGCCAGGCCCTTTCCAGGGGGATCGCCCTTGGGGGATAGCAGAGCACAGCTGCCCCTCCTTGCTCCAGCAGCTGTGGGAGAGGCGCTGCTCTGGGGCCTGAACTGTGTCTGCTGCCCCCTCTGAGGGGCCCCTCACTCTTACCCAAGACCCTGGACAGTTGCACGGCAACCACTCCTCCCTGGCATTGCTCAGCAACTGCTCCTCCCATCTTGGCTGCCCTGTGCTCCTTCCTGGTCCCTACGCCAGCCCTCATCCCTTCCTCTCTCAGCAGCCAGGCAGACATAACAACAAAAATACTAAAAGGAGCTTCACTGCACTGAGCTGTTTCCTGCCCAGACTAAGGGAATAATGTGAACGCTGTGCGTGCGCGTGCACGTGTGCGCCTGTGGGTGCGTGTGTGAGTGTGTGTGCCTGTGTGAGCGAGTGAGTGAGAGGCGGTGGGGGTGGGGGGATTGAGGAGGAGGGCCAAGGGCCAGGTGTCCCAGGCAGGTGGCAGGGCTGTGGGACGTGTGAAGGAGGCCTCGGGTGTGGAGGACTCCAGGGCAGCTTGTACCTCACCTGGGAGGGTGCTCCATCCTGGGATTGTCTGTGTCCCCCAACGCCCATCAGTCTTGGAGAAAGGCGTCCCGCGATGTGTGTTTGCCCAGCTGTGCACTGTCTCTCCCTGACACAGAGATTCAGCCCCTCCCTGGCTTCCCTTCCTCCCAGCCATGGAGTCAGTGCCACAGCCTTTGCTATGCACCCTTCAGGCCTCTCCGTGGCACTGACCCTGGAATGACCTACCGTCACTTCTTTCTCCCATAGCCTGTACTCAGTGAGTTGAGGGCTGTGTCCCCGCTTTTGCTTTGGCTCTCCTGTCTTCCTTCCATGGCCCCCAGCTGGTTGCCGTGGAGATGAGGTTGTTAGCCCTCCCCGTCCTGGCCGGACTGCCCCACCTCAGACCCGGGATGCCCCTGGCATCACTCTCACCCTCCGCCAGCATGTCCTCCCTGCTCTGACGACGGGCGTGCGTAACGGGGCAGCTGCAACGCAGCAGGTCTGCCCACCCCCTTCAGTTCAGGTAATGCCGTTGTGAATCTTCCAGCCGCTGCTTGGGCCCTGGGCACACAGGCAGCCCCTCACCTACGCCAGGGCCCCTCCTCTTACAGCAGCAAGGGAGCCTGGGGCCCCAGGCCTGTCGGGCTCCTTGTCTCCCAGCACCCGCTTTTGGGAAATGACTTTTCCTCTTCGAGCTGAACCACTCTGTCCATATTACACAGAAGCCATATTTGTACGGGGGGCGGGGGGAAGAGGTGCCGTTGTGCTGTGTGTGTCTGTCCGGGGTGGGGGTGGGGGAAGGGAGCAGGGAGGGGATCGTGTATCTTTATAATCTTTCTAACTCTCCTGTGCTAATCTCAGAGGGGCCACCCTCAATATATCTGGATTATCCGTGTCATTCGGCTGCCTCCTTTCTGCTGCTCTCGCTGCTGCTGGGATGCATGTATATAAGGGCTATTTTTTGGTATCCCTCGTACCTGTTACTGGTACCTCAAGGGGTGGTGTGTCCCTTGCCAGGCCGCTCTCCCAAGAGCATCTATGTATGGAAACAATATAACTTTCCAAGGGAGACAAGCGTGTTCATCCCCTTTTGCTGGGCCCTTCCTTTCCCAGGCGTTTGGGGCGGGGCGTCCGACTGCTCTCCCCAGCCTTCTGCCAGGCATTGCCGGACAGCGTGGAGACGGAGGTGCAGACACGTCAACACCGTCCGGGACGGCTGCACCAGACCTTCACCAAACTCTTTCCAGCCCCCTTCATGTTGAACCTGAATCTTGAGCTACTGTCCTGGGAGGAAAGGGTGAAATCTCTAGGAAGTCTGAGGTCTTTGCCCCTACATGCCCCTACATGAGTGGGATGGAAGATCCTTGGCAGAATTGGGGTTAAAACATCGCATGCCTTCTTGAACAAATTAAAGTGTCCCCTAACCAACCCTCTCTATCACATTGTTCTGACTCAGACACTCCATGGTTCACCCCTCCTAAGGTCAAAGCTATGTCTCCCCATCTGAGGAAGTAAAGTGCAAAGCAGGTGATGAAACAGCAGAGATCGTGGGAAAGCAGCTGGGGGCAGGGGGCAGGGGCCACCAAGGAGGAGAGGCCTCAGCTTGGGAGGATCCACCTGCATTGTAGATTCCCTTGCTCTGCCAGCCAGAGAGAAATAGCTTTGCCCGCCACCCCCAACCCCCGGCCCATATAAGAAACTTTACACATTGCTAAGATGCCTGGCCGATGGAGCAGTTCCAGAGACTTTATGTCCCCAACAGAAATATGAGTAGAGATTACCCTGTGGGCAACAGTCCCATTTTAAAATATGCTGTCCCATTGTCCCCCAGAGCCTACTTTAACTTGTCAGACCATGTGTTCTTCTTCTTCTGGATGCTTTATTCGCTGCGCCCATAGGTGGCTAGGCAAATGCCCAATTGCTCCCTGAAGTAGCTTCATTAGGCAGCCTTGACAGCCACCCCAGCCCTCCCTCCTCACACTGCAACGCACAGACCTGGAGATAGCGATACCCACACCCAGACACCCGCCTAGCCCTGACACAGATCTGTGCACGCTGATACACAGCACACACACACACACAGATAGGTAGGTATGCTCCCACGCCCCGTCTGATACACACACAGCCCAGTCCCACAGGCATATACCCCTCAGGTGAATGAATCCCACCAAAGCACACTAACAACTCTCCACAACACTTGACGTTGGGACTGTCTTCCTTGGCTCAAGTTCAAGGGGATGGAGGAACAGGGAGCAACCTCAGCTGCCCTTTCCCTCCCACTTCCCAGCACCTCTCTTATCTCTGCCTCACAAATCACCCCTGACCCCTTCTTCCTTCCTTGTGCTTGAAGAATCTCCACTTGCTGGAAAGCCCCCTGGTTTCTCAGCCTCCCTTTCACTTCAGGAACATGCCCACTTTGTGGTCCCCACCTTTTTCCTTTCCCGCCTGCAGTTCAGACCAGTTGATTCACCCAAAAAACAGGAAACCTGGGGGCCAGTGCCCCATGCAGACCTGAGGCTTGGACAGTCAGTGGGGGGGATGATGAAGACTTCCTGAATGCCCCCCTTGGCCCTGCCCAGAAGCCGATGGCCCTCATTAGTCCTGGATACTTATCTTGGAGCCACAGGCGCTGACGGAGCCAGAGCCAGAGCGGTCCCAGCCCTTCTCTCTGCCCGTCCTGAGCCTGGCGGTGCCATGGGGAACTGTCTGCACCGGGTGAGTACAGGGGCCGAGCCCCACAGCCCCCACAGTCCCCACAACTCCTTCTGTTTGCCCCTCCTTTCTTTGGACCTCTTCCCTTTTCTCCTCATCTCGGATCCCTTCCCTCCGTTTTCTCTCATTTTGAAACATCTTTTTCCTTCTCTCCTTCCTGGGCCAGCCTCCGAGCTCCCCACTGTTTTCCTTCTGGTCTGCCCTTCAGTCGGTTCCATCCAGGTCCTGCTCCTCCCGTACCGGCCTGCCCGTTACCCCTTCCCTGGCTTTTCGTGACTCTTCGTTCCTGCACAGGCTCCTCAGTCTCCCTGCTTGGTCCTTTTCCTCCGTCCTCACTGCATCCAGCTCCCACGGCTCCCTTGTTCCCTGAATCCCCTCTGTCCTCCCCTCTCACCTTCCACTGGGCTCCCAGGAGACACTTCAGTGGGGTAACTTGCTGCTCTGATGCCCCCCCCATATCCTCCAGGTGGAGTCTGCCCGCTCATCTGCGGAGAACTTAACTCAGCTGACATTCGATGATGAATTTTGGAATTATTCTGACTATGGGAACGATTCCCTCAAAGCCCTTGACTACGACAGCAGCCTGGAAGCAGCAGCCCCCTGCCACTCCTGTAACCTGCTGGACGACTCCTCGCTGCCCTTCTTCATCCTGGCCAGCGTCTTGGGCATCCTAGCCAGTGGAGCTGTGCTCTTCGCATTTCTCAGACCTCTCTTCCACTGGCAGCTCTGCCCTGGGCGGCCCATCCTGGCGCAGTTGGCTGTGGGCAGTGCCCTCTTCAGCATCGTGGTCCCCATCCTGGGGCCAGGGCTAAGTAGCACCCCCAGCGCCACCCTGTGCAGACTGGGCTACTGTGTCTGGTATGGCTCCGCCTTTGCGCAGGCTCTGCTGATAGCGTGCCATGCCTGCCTGGGCCCCAGACTGGGTGCAGGCCAGTTCCCACGCCTCACCCTGGGGCTCACTGTGGGACTTTGGGGAGTGGCTGCCCTATTGGCGTTGCCAATCACCCTGGCCAGTGGCACTTCCCAGGGACTGTGCACCCTGATATCCAGCAGCGACCTGAAGATTTTGCAATTCATACACACTGTTGGCTGTCTTGTCGTCTTCGTCTTGTTGCCACTGGGTTTGTTGGGCACCAAGGGGCTGATGAAGGCACTGGGCAGGGGGCCAGGCCCCTGGGTTGGTATCCTCTGGGCCTGGTTCATTTTCTGGTGGCCTTATGGGGTGCTTCTGGGACTGGACTCCCTAGTGAGGTTCAGGTTATTGCTGCTGCCAACATGTCTAGCCCAGCAGGTTCTGGACCTGCTGCTGAACCTGACAGAAGCCCTGGCAATATTGCACTGTGTGGCTACGCCCCTGCTCCTGGCCCTGTTCTGCTACCAGGCCACCCGCACTTCCTTGTCTTCCCTGCCCCTCCCTGAAAGATGGCCTCATCTGGACACCCTTGAAGACAAATCCTAGCTTTCTTCCCACCTGTCAACCTGAATTAAAGTCTATATTGCTTTTATGAAGCGGGTGGTTTCTTATTTTGTCTGGGGATGGAAAGGAGAGGAAGGAGAACGGAGAGAAAGAGACGTTTTATGCCAGACTTTCCTCCTAGTGTCTTTTTCTCTAGGTGTCCTGGAGAGAAAGTGAATGACCTATAAATATCCACAGGGCACACAGATGTTCTCTTAAGGAAGTGGGGTTACTGCGGTTCCCAGAGGGAAGAGAAGAGGTACCAGAGCGTGGGGGGAGCAGCCAAGCCCAAAAAACTAGAAGCAAGGGCTTAGCAGCTGAAGAAAGAAGAGAAACTGTTGCAGAAAGCAAATGGAATGGGAAGCAAAACCCACAGAGAAGAAGAGAGAAGAGTGACGACAAAGCCCACAGCAATACTTTCTCTTCCGTGTCTTACCCATCCAGCCTCCCTCTCTGTCTTCTGTCTCCTCTCTGGTGTCGGTTAGAGATCAGAGCAGTGCAGGGGGAGTTACTTAGTCCTTCCCCCAGGATGGACTTTCCCGGTAACATACCAAGATAATTTTCAAAGCTACCTCCTAGGAGTCATCTCTCCCAGGTTCCTCAGCATGACCCTAATTCTTGTGTGTGTGTTTCTGTGTGTCTGTTCTAGACCTGCTACAGCCTGTATTCATATTAGATGTGTGCATGTGATAACATACGTCCGCCCATGTGCTTGCATCTCCACCAGTGTCTGAGCCACACACACCTCTGTGTGTGCACTGACCTCTCTCATGGCCCCGCCCCCTACTTAATTCTGCGCTCATCTCTGTTTTCAGGATGTGAAATCAGGATTTATGACTCACTCCTTAACCAAATGAGTTTTCTGTACCCTGGTTTTTTTGCCTAGTCTTTTCTGTGTAGGATGTGTGGAGGGAAGAAAAGATCAAGAAGTTGTGAAGGGCGTAGAAACTTAAAGGGGGATCTGATTCATCTTCTGCTTGGAATTCCCCAAATTTCCCTTTCAAACACCAGCTTTTAAAATAAACCTTTCCTTCTCACTTATATCTTTCCTTCCACCTTCCACACTATACCCCAATATCCTGGGCCCCTCTTCCACAAATACACCCCTGATGCTCCAGCTGCTTACTTGTGACCTTAGAGGATTTTTGGCAACCTCTACCCAGCCAAATTTAGGTGGTGCTTAGAAGGAATAAGCCCCTTTTCATAAGGGGCACACCTTTTACCACCAACAACAAATTTACCCTCTATCCAAGAGGCCATAAAACAATGAGCTCCTCCCTCCAACCCAACTAAAGGCTGGGGAAACTTGAGCAATTACCTCATCTCTGAATCCAATTACAGTCTTTCCATTTTCCAAATATGTGCTATGCCTGGCTTGTTCCTTAAAATGTTTCTACTTGACTCTCTGGGCTTGGGAATAAACAGGAGAGTGCAGGAGAGGAGGAGAGATCAGTTAGAATATCTCAGGCAGGAGGGTGCAAAAGGCTTGGGGAATTTTCCTGGGTGGGTGCCATGACAAAGCCCCTAAATCTCCCACCTCCTGTCTCTTAGCAACTACCAGGTTAGCTCCTGACTGGTGCATCAAAAATTGGAAGGCGGGATTTAGGGACCGATTGAAACGCGGGAGGCATTCTGAAACAGAAAGGAAGGAAGGGAAAATGAAGAAAAAGGAAATCATTTACAAACCTAAATTATGCTCAGGTCTCTAACCACAGTTCAGAAATGTATCCTTCTATTTTCTTTCTCTCCTGTTTTCTTTCCAGTCTCCTGTCAAAATTTTCCCCTCCAACCCTTGACCACTCTCTCAATCCTGCCAGATGTTGCTCTCCTCCCTTCCAAGGTACTGATTTGGACGCTGACCTAGTTAAGAGGGATGAGAGGATGTTTTTGACTCCCTGAATCTTCCAGTGTCAACCTGATGCTAGGGAGGCGTAATTTAAGCCCACTCAGCTTTTCTTAACACCACCTCCTGCCCACCAACCTGGAACGTCCAAATCCCTCCTGCTTCAGTCCAGAGAAAACTCCAGACTCCAGGGTAAAGCCCAGCAGCTATCACACCCTGCACAAAGAAAAGGCAGAGGCAGAAGCCCGAAGCTGATAAGAGGTCAGAGCCGGCTGGAGACAGTGCCCCCAGGGCTGCTCCTCCTCAGGCTGACACTCTCTGGCTTTGCCCCAGTCACTTGGGAACTGCCCTCTCCCTGCCATCCTCTGTGTGGCAGTTGGAGAGTTCCTCCTTAAGTCTAACCCTGACCTCAGTCCTTTCTTTAAAGCTCTCCTGTGGACCTGCTACCCATCCATTTAACCCCTTCCATGCCACAAACCACTCTAAATTGGTCTGAATCTGGCATTTTTTCTACAACCCTTCAGGAATAGAAATCTTGTTTCCTTAGAACCCTTAAGAATTTAATCTTAGGGTTGGCACAGACTTTAGTTGTATGTGAGTTATTGGGCCTCCTGGCTAAAGAAAAAATCCTTTCAGAAAGATGAGAGCCAGGGTGGCAAGCTCTTGGGAGCACATAAAGACTCAGCGAAGGTCAATTTGCATTGCTTTTTTTTAAGGAGGGAGACCTATTGTTTGAGGTAAGTTTGAACATCACATTGATGCCATCATTCTTTTATTTCGGGCTGGGGCCTCTCTGGAATGATTTAGGAAACAAATGCCTGGTCCTCACACCCTTTACCTGCCTCTATTTTGCTATACTCGAACTCCATCATCACCTTCCTTCTGGAGCCACCCTCAGAGGAATTCTGATTGAGAATTTCACTGGGATTTCAAACCCAATTCTTCGCCAAGTCTAATTGCCAGGGATTTGCATGAAAACCATCGTATGCTATCTAATTATTCTGACAACAGCAGCCCGCCGTCTGGGCACAAGGAGAATCACAGTTTTAATTAACAATAATGCACCTTGCAGACGAATGTGACTGTTCAGGTTAATTAACAAGTCCAAGTCCTTCCAAATCATCTCTCAACATCTTCTAGGTGATTTGTGCAGGAGGGGTGTGGGGCACACCAGGGGGTGGGGGTGTTTAGAAATCAGTTTGGCAAAAAATGTTAGCTTTCATCTTTTCTATAACTTTTTGGTGAAGGGAAGAACAAATCTCTACAAGAAAGTGTCTGGGAAATTGGTTTAGGGAGATTTGGGGACATCACTTTAGGGGGATTTATCAGGCATCTTATGCCACATTTAGGTTTAGGAAATCTTTGGCTGAGTGTGGTGGCTCACACCTGTAATCCTAGCACTCTGGGAGGCCAAGGCAGGAGAACTGCTTGAGCTCAGGAATTGGAGACCAGCCTGAGCAAGAGTGAGACCCCATCTCTACTAAAAATAGAATAATTGGCCCGGTGCGGTGGTGGTATGCACCTGTAACCCTAACTACTAGGGAGGCTGACGTAGGAGGATCTCTTGAGCCCAGGAGTCTGAGGTTGCTGTGCGCTAGGCTGATGCCATGGCACTCGGCACTCTAGCATGGGCAACAGAGTAAGACTTTCTCTCAAAAAAAAAAAAAAAAGAAAGAAAGAAAAGAAATGGAAGTCTTTCAGATACGTTTTTATAAATAAGAGGAAATAAGCCCTTGTAATTCTCAAGTATCTCTAAGTCATTACCCAGTTAATTGCAAACTTGGTTTCTAGCATGAGACTCTCGATTTCCCCATGGCTGCCATTTCTCCCCTCCTTTCTTTGCATATTCCTAGGATGTTTATGAGCACTTAAAGTTGCTGATTTCCGAAGATTTCCCAGGTATTTTTTCCTAGGTAGTTCTCTGTGTCCTGGAAGAATACACTGTATGTAGCTCCATCTGCGTCTTTCAGTCTTTCTAGTCTTTCTAGGAGCGTGGACCTTGTCTTCTCCCTCTAAATCAGGTATTGCTATCATTGGTGGAGGAGGGGAAGAAGAATGCTGTCCTCTTAGAAAATCCAATGAAAGTAATAAAGTTCTCTCTTTAGGAAAATCTAATCTTACACCCCCAATTTGGCATTTAGTTGCCCCCTGCAGCACTTAGAGTTAATCCCAAGTGCTTTTGCACTATCTGACAGGATTTCCATGGTCAGTCCATGGCTTTGTCACCCCCATGCTCACTCAGCTTTATGCCCAGTGCCAACTTTTGTTCTTTCAAGAGGCAAATCTCTTTTCCACTCTAAGAGTCTTTGCACTTGACTTCTCCTCTGCCCAGAGCACCCTTTCCTGTGCTCTTTAGGAGAACAACACCTCCATCCTTGGGGTCTCCACGTAAATATCACCTCTTTAATGACCTTCCCTGACATCCAATGGGATGCAGCCCCGGCTGCACCCGTGCACCCAATTATTCCCTACTAATTCACCTGGGATGTTTCCTTTGTAACATTTATCACATGTTAAAATTGTCTTGTTTATTTGTTTATTTGCTTACCAGTTTATTGCCTGTCCACCCCCCTTCCTTCCACCACTAGAAAATAAGCTCCAACCGTGCAAAAGTCTTTTCTCTCTTGTGACTGGAAGGTGGTCAGAGCTCGGGATACATTTATAACATATGTAAATTAAAGAATTAAATTTGTATGAATGAAGCTTGGTTCCCCACACTGGAGGGTTCACCGTCCAAGGGATAAGAGGACCAAGTAAGCAAATCATTGGTTAGAAAACTGACAGGAAACTGACCTCCTCTCCTTAAGTCCTCCAGAGGATCAGTATCTCTCCCACAGCATTCGACCCTGTGGGGGCTAAAGAGACTGGAGAACTGTCAGTACAAGGTTTCTGGCCTGTGGACCTGTTTTCTGTGTCAATTTACAGCTGATTGGAGCCGGGGACTTCACCACGTTTCCTGAGCCACACGTTGGAGGAACAATGTTTTCTTTCCTTTGGGATATTGCCGGGCTTTGGACAGCAGGGGAAAGCTGGGAAGGCTTGTCATTTTTCATCTTTACTTGAGGAAAAGTGAGTCACGGAGACTCCCCCAGAGATCCAGGAGACAAAGTCCTTCCCTGGTTCAGAATCAAATTTGAAGTCCAGCCACCTCCTCAGATTTCATCACAGTCAGGGAGAGAGCCCACACTCTCCTTGGACCTATAAGTCATT